CACAAAGCTACACAATGGGCTATCTGTGCTCTGCCCACCACGGGTATCGAAACCCGGATTCTAGCATTGTAAGTCCGCAGACATACCGCTGTGCCACTGGGGGACAAATCAAACTATTTGTTTGTAATTAAGCACAAAGCTACACAATGGGCTGTCTGTGCTCTGCCCACCACGGGTATCGAAGCCCGGATTCTAGCATTGTAAGTCCGCAGACATACCGCTGTGCCACTAGGGGGCGTTTATTATAGGTCCGATACACATTAATTACAGTTTTTTTCTACCAAAAACTCAACGTTGAAGATGTACAGAAATTTCGGCATTTTGTGATTACAATCGCACAATGTAGACAGGCCTCGATTCTTATATTTTTGTTTCACAATTTAACAAATCACTAGAACTTTGATAATACCTTTTGTTGTTTTTAATAATATTGAATAATTTTATTTGAATTTTCAGAATTCAATGCAGATTAAAATTTAGCAGAACACTGCAATATATTTTACCATTACTTTGTTCCACTTTTGGAAGAATTAAAATGGTTAGAAAACAACTTCTATTCCAAGTTTTTCCATTCAAATCTTAGCTTTGAAAATAAAATTTTGAGGCTTGTTTTTGAAAATCTTTATATAAATGAAAATGTTTTCTGTACATCTGGTTTGTATCCAGTTATTTATTGCTCTAGACCAGTTATGATAATGTTTTAGCTTTAGTGACAAGTTACAAGCTTTGATCTCTTCCTCAGAAACCCCCACAATTTAGATACACCTGCCATTAGTTAGAAAAATTACATTAAAACACCCAGATATTTTAAATCTTCTTAGTTCACCCATCTTTAGTGATTCAACTTCATATAACTGTGAAATCAGGTGATCTGAATTTAAAAAATGAACCTGATAGTGTGTTGCCAAACATTTGTGTGTATCACGCAAACTTCAATATATTTATTAAAACTGTGTTTTCCTTAAGACTTTCCATAATTCTATGAGAAGAGTATGAACAAAAAATAAAAACCACAAAATCAAAACTTAACTGTTTTTATTTCAATCTGTAGCTTGACAATCCATCAAAGTTCAAAATAATTTATTACCAAATAAAAGCTACAAGTCAATAGAGATTTGAGACCTAGTTCAAATTCAAAGCTGTGAAAAATCATCTTTCACACCTCTACCAACTTGAACTTTTGAAATATCCCTGGTTCATTAATGTCACAATCCACATTGCCAAAATGCAGGATTATCAATCAAGATATTGATGTTCTCTTAAAATAACGGTGACGGTTCATTTAATACAATATAGCCTGTGTGATTGAAAATCATCAGTAAACACTTATAAGATAAATTCTAACTATTAATTGAAAAGAAATTAAATTTACATAATTCTCTAAAACAATAATTCACTAAAAAAATATCCAGAAAACTCAAGTTTTTTCTTCAATCTAATCCCAGTCAGATTATAAGAACAAGTGAGCAAGTAAAGGCAAAGGAAATTATACTGAATTTTTCTGAAGACTTGTACAACACTGCCAACATGAAAATATAAACAAAAGTATGTTTATAATCCAGTTCTCGTTTCATAATTTTAATGTCCAAAACTGGTATCTGAGTGTAATGTTGATCTTCCACAATTAACTAAATATTCATGCGATGAGATTTCACACGTTCTCTGTAAAAATAATAAAAGTTATTATCTACATACCTTCGAAAACTGATTCTGATTCATAAAACATTTTTTATAAAGTTAGGAACCGACTCAGAACTTACCCCTACACCGCCACTTTCATCACAAATTTCCCCATTATACAAAGTATTTAGTGTTTTGTAGGAAACTCCAAACTTTTAATAAGTACTTTGAGATACCATCAATAAAATAAACACCAAAATTCAAAATGATGACTGAACCTATATACTTTATTGACACAATAGTCAGCATGCAAGAATTAAAAATCCAAACTTTCATTACTTATTCTTTCACCTCCATGTTCACAGCTAAACAACTGTCCCACTTCCAAATTTATTCTTAGATACAAATAAGGGGGGGGACTCAACTGAACTTGTATTTAGCAAACTTTGGGGGATTTCTATTAGTTTACGTGACAAATAAATAGATGTAGTTGATGCTTGTATGTAATACATCACCCAGCTCTAACTGACATTATAAAAAAATAAAATAAAGAATTCAAATATTTTGTTGATTTGTCTTAAGCAAACTGTTTTGAAATCAATCCAAGACAGTTGGGCTTTAACTTTTGTAAATTTAGACTTAAGCCTTCAATATTTTATACAGGAATAAATATTAGAAATTAAAGCTTCCCAGACAAGACTGTTATTCCTTGTATGAAAATGTAATTCAAAAGTAGGTTATATTCTGATGCATGGATATTTCAAGTTCACTCCTTCTTCTTCTTCCAAAAACTTTTAACTAAACATTGTCTCTTGATTCAAAAAGAGGTATTTCAAAGTTGTTCCTCTTTTTCATCTTCTTCTTTGGTTCTGTTTACACCAAAATATCCCATTCAATAATGGCATCATTTGGATACAGCCATCTTTAATCTTGCACGACTTTCAGTAGTCACCTTTATTCTCCAAGTGTGTGTTACTTTATTTTTACACCTTAAGATTTTTGTACCCCAAACTGAAGGAATAAGTGGTGTTTGCCTAAATTTAATATGCTAAAAGACAAATCAAAATGTCAGAAAAGCAGTAAACAGTAAATCTTGTACAAAGTTTTATAGTAATGTGGAAGTTGTGGATGGAAAAACCTAAATATTTGTCAATAAATTGACAAGTTATTTGGTGAGAATAGCATTGCTAGGAAGAAGAAGCAATGCGATCAATGAAGTATCAATTTTGACAAGATGCAAATAGGGTAAAGTAAAAAAAAACTAAGGCAAGAATTCAGTGACAACTAATGAATGTATACTGTTCCACACAAATGTTTCCTCCGAGTAAGATTGGTGCAACATGATCGATAGAAAAAACAACAAACATCTGGACTTGAGGTACATTTTTTCCCCCATAGTTTACCATAAGAAGTACCAAGTTACAGAACTGTACAATTGAGAGAATCCACAAAAAAGTATATCCATTCACACATCATACAATGGTTATCAATTAATACACTGTAGTACACAGAACAATGAAATATTTGAGGGATGTACTGGAGTATATAGTTACCTCCAATATTCGGAATTCACAAAAACACAATAAGGTAGTTGAAGTTTGCATCTCCATATGTCATTTAGCAATGGATGTGTTATCATTATTTTTTCAGCAAGCATTTTCAAAAGGATTGCCCAGTGGTCGGACCAAGATTAAAAGCATCCCTTTAATATATAAAAAGCCCTGATGGCTCTGAACGGAGATTTTTCAACAAGTTTGAAGAAACATGCTAAATGAAGACAAGCTTTTTTTTATTTTGACTGCCATAAGCACAAAAGCTAGCTTTTGATAACTTAAAGAAGAGATGCACAAACCTTATTGATAAAATGAAAAAAACACCTCCCTGACCTGGATTTTTTGTTTTAAACCCAAGAAAAGCTAAAAAAAATAAAGCATCAACAGCAAAATATTTTTATAAAAATGATCAGGAAAAACAAAAGTTTACTATAGCATGTATCTACCTCAGAAACAGGGATTGCTAGAGCAAAGTGTAGAGCTGAAATACATTACAGTTTCAAATGACTTGCACTCATTAATACTCTTTCAGGAGTTTTCAGATGTTCCGTCAAAAGAATGTAATGGGTCTTCCCATGAAATTGACAAAATGGTTCAGTATGTAAAGGCTACTCCTGCAACAAATGTATTGCGAGCAATTATTCAGCAACAGAACTGAATGAAATCAGAATTCAGAAATTCATTAACCCTATGTATATGGGCATGGTCATTTGTAACCACCATCTAACCATGAAACTACACATACTATAACTCTGAATTCTCCAAGTCTATCTTAACAGAATTTGGCAAGCTTTTAGTAAACATAAGAAGTCTGTTGCACACACACACACACAAAAGTCTGATTTTTGTTTTTAATGAAGTACTTTTACTAAAGATTTGTCAGTGAATTAATGGAGTCATTCTGACTCAGGCAACTGCCCAGTCTAGTGAAAGGTGATTTTCATGTTAAGAACAAACTTTTTTTCATCTTACCAGTTTCATATTTCAGAACCTCTAGAACTATCTAAATGAATTATCACAAGATATTTTTTCAGTATATTTACATTTTATCTGTTACTTTATTTACCATAACACTAACTGTCGCAAAAGCAGCAATTTAGGATAAAATGAAAAGTTGAAAATTACAAACTATTTTCTACATCCAAAGCCGATACTTTTTAAATATGGGTTAATTTAATTTTATTACTTTAAAACTGCACTTAACCCTTTTAAGAGTGCACTAAAAGCTATATGTCACAGCCAGACAGCTTCACATAAACAATCAACCAAGTTACAAGCACACCACATCCAAATTTCAATCACAACTCAAGATTTGCACATGCACTACAACAGAGTATCACAAGTCATTTTTTTTATTTAAATTTTCTTATCTGACCTAAAAAGTTTCTAATTTGTACATTTTAGTTGTATTTATAGCAATAAATAAAATACAAGAAATTTAATATTTACATCTGGACTCGTTTGCCATCAGAAGATGAAGTACGGTAATCCTACTTTTTTGTAACAATTTTGGTCTTCCAAAATTTGTTTTTTTTTATTTCAAATATGCAACTTAGAAAAACCAATATTAACATGCACAAAAAATATTGTCCTAAAACTATAACAGTTTAACTGGCTTTCTAAGCTATAAATAATTTTAGAAAATCCACTAGCTGGTCAAGCCAAACACCATAAAGGCAAATAATGAAACTGAGGACAAATACTTCCAAACCTGGCACGTGAACGATCTAGCATCATAACAAATTTATTAAAGAATCTTCTTTTTCTATGGTAATAAATAGTTCCATAGCAAGTGTCAGAGAGAATTACTAACATTTTTTGAAAGATAGGAAGGGCATGACATGAGGGTTTGACTTTCTTTATATCTCAGTAAAGCCTAAATCTTTGGAGCTACAAGTTTACAATATGGCTTAGCAATATCTGTAATATATATATTTTTAATTTGTGCCAAACTCAAAAGGTCAAATAAAGGTAGAAATAAAATCTAAAATGGGCAATTAAGAGCAAAAAAATGTCACGATACAGAAAATCACTGAGAATTTGTTCAGATATTTCCTTTTGAAATAAAGAAATGAAAACTGATATAACATTAATTTTGAATGTAACTCTATAAAAAGTTAGGGAAATAAGCACATACGGTTAAACAACTAGAATATATAAAACCTGATAATCAATTCAAAATTAAGCTCATCCAGACAAAACTTCAATTTTAGAAGTACTGCAAAATTAAAATGAATGAAAATATTTAAAAATAATAAATACAGAAAGCTGTAACCGGTAATAGACAAAAATATGAACTTCAAATATTTTCGTATATGCTGTAAAACCTTTGAAAAATTTATGATTTTTTTGGATTTTTACTAAAATCTTATTTGCAAATTAAGTTCACAATGTGTATTGACTAAGCCTAAGTTATGGCAGTTGGCACATGGTGTTCTGTACATAGGGTTTTTACCATTGCCAGATAAATAGCTGAAAATGTGGAGATAAACTTAACTTAACAGTATCATTTTATTCCTATGAGCTATGGCCCATTTCATGCTATACCTTTCGTACGTTTCACAAATTTTCAGTCTTAAGTACTGATAAGAAAAACCTTTCTACTGTGCATACGATCTTACAAACAGTAAGATGAGAACAAAAGGATGGGCGAGGGAAATGTGCTAATTACACATTATCACTGTAATGTCTTAACTTATCAAATAAGAGGCTTTCCAGTTTAGAACCCTCTGGGAAAACAATTCAGCAGTTAAGGGACCAAGTACAGTCAGCACTCTGTTGATATTCATACTGTGATATTAACAAATACAAGTTTATATTTTTCAATTATGTTAATGTTACTGCCTGCATTTAAAGTCCTCATTGATATTTATATTAATATCTCACTTTTTAAAACGTGTATGTCATGCAGAGCACAATGTCCCATATGTAACAGGTAATGTTCTGATAAATGATAGTCTTATCTACATAATAAAACTTGAAACAGTTTCGGTTAATATTTAGTCTTATGATAATATTTTGACTCACATTTTGCTACAGAACTGACAAAATGTGGTTTTATTTTACCTTTGCAATTAACTGTCCTATAATTTTCAAAGCACAACAAAAACAGTAGTCTTTATCTTATCGATCATACGGACAAATATTGTAAACTTCAATAAGATGCTTTTTATCCTTCTTTTCTCAAGAGAAAATAAGTTAAACATCTTATGCTATCCCTTAAAATAACCCTTCCCAGGAAACATCCTAGTAAACCTGCTTTGTCCACTTTCCCACAGGTCCACATCCTTTCTTACATAATATTCAAAATGAGACCAAACTAGTGATTTGTGTAGAGATAATAACCTCTTGACTTGAAATCAATCTATTAATACACACTAAAATTCTATTAGCTTTACTACAAGCAACACAACACTGCTTTGATAGCGTCAGTGATTTATCTACTAATACGTCAAGATTCCTTTACTTCATTCATGTTAAATCATTCATACAAAAAGCATAAAATTTTAAGAATCATGAAATAAAAATTCACCGTTGCCTATAAAAAGCATTCACTCTTATATTTGACCCAATCCCCTTGAACGTGTCATGACCGCATGAGCTGCCATCTTGGATTAGGAGTGAGAAGATGACCACTAGAGAGCATTCATACTACCAAATACTTTATGAGCAAAACTTTCTTTGTATCTAACGTAATTAAAATTAATTAAGAAATATATATTAGGACAAGTTTCTGGGAATGATTGATAATGGTCAACATAAAACTAAAGAATCACTACAGCAGTATTTTAAACAGAATGCCCACTGGTCACAATCCATTATCAGTCCCAAATAACATAACAGCTCAAAGCCTAGAAATGCATGTACACACAGACATTTAATTTATGAAACTATAACTCACCTGTAGTTTTTTTGCCATTGCCACCACGTCATGATCGGCAGGATTATATTTGTAGCAGTTCGTAAATATGAGTCTCACATCTCCTGCGAACTCATCTGGTGTCTTGTATTCCCTCAAATCCAGTTTTTGCTGCAAGATAAAATTATGAAACAACACATCAATGATACTCATCTTCTATAATAATTGAATATTTAAACAATTTTAACAACATCTCTCTCTACATATACAAATTTGTTACTGGAAGGTTCCAAGGACCTGCTGAGAGCAAGTAAAGATTTTTTGTTTCATTTATTTTATTTAGATAATAATACATTAACCTAACGAACTTAAATTACTCTTAATCAGCTTACGTATTAAAGGAAAATAAATCACATTATTCTCTTATACAAAATACAAATCAAGGAACAATAATATCAGATTTGAAGCATAACTTTCCAATTAAATGATACTTTCAACATATGCAGGTGTATCCAAGTCATGAATCAGCAATCTTATTTTTAAGAATGCTGGGATTAACCTTGGAAGTTTTACTGTAACCTCAGACAGACAAGAATGTTTCAGCAGTTACCAAAAAAGTAACCTAAACACCCTATTCTCAGAGGTACATTTAATCCTCTTGCTATTGGTAGGTCAAAATGTGCATGTCATGACCTTTTAGCTACATTCAAAATTCAGTTAAACTACTTTATTATCGATGTATACAAATAAACTTAGCATCAAAACATAGTTAGTAAATCAAATTTTAATATCACAAATTTTAAGTTCTTTGTTTTATAAGGAAATATTTACAGCATGAGAAATGTAACATTTGTTTTCTAGGTCTTCCCAAATGTATTTACAGCCCCGTTCTGAAGCAAGGAATTTCTTGCGAAGTTGCTCATTATGATATAGATATTAATAAGACAAAGTTTAATTTTTTACAGTTTTCAATCTTATTTGCTTACAGAGTAATAAACTAAAAAATTCAGACCTACTTGCCACACCCACCTGTTACATATTATCTTTCCCACTAGTTCTCACTGATGTTTTATACAACTATATTATTCATAACCAACAGAAACGCATAGCTTTAAACAATTAAATTTGATAGTTTCTGCTGTGGTGTTCAGCTCAAGAATCACTGGAAATTATTTTTAGGCTCTCATGCCATAGTTAGAAAGCCAGTTAAGTTATGATAGTTATAGGACACTCTTCTGTGTTATTATTCTGTGTTCTTAAGTGCATTATTTAAGTAAATGTTATTTACCACCCCTCACCAAAGTACAGAGTTTAACATAAATTACCCATTATAACCTAGATGTTACTAAGGCAAAGTCTGATTTTTATAGTCTTCAATCTTCTTTGTTTATAGAATCATAAACTAGAAAAACAAGACCCACTTGCCATCTGTCACATCCTTTCTTTCAGAAATAGCCAATTATTCTCTTTGAAGTTTTATATAATGTATAACTAATAGAAAAACCAGGTTTTAATCTATCAAATGATGTATAATGCTATGTTGTTTTCAGTACAGAATATTGTCAATTTCATCTTTACTTTGAAAGTTTATCTCGCGGTGTTCAGATCATGGAGCTAAGGAAATTATTTTAGGCCCCTCTTGTCTTAGAAAGCCAATGGAAGTATAACATTTATATAATTTTGTTTGCTTTGTGCGTGTTATTATCCCATTTTTGTTTTGTTATTATTTTTCACTATCTTGCCTTATCTAATCTCTCTAATTTTTACATTTATTATTATTTACTTTTCTAATAATAATAAAGAATATACATGAAAAACAAGAAATATAATAATTACCATTGACTTGTTTTTTTCGCTGTCAGTTGCCACTGAAGTAATGGTACACTAAATAATTTTTATTTAATTAAATAATGCACCTAAGAACATATTCAAGAAGTACACTTGCAAGCAGCTTGTACGTTACATCATAAATTACGGCAACTTGAGTTACGTATATGAAGAGTGATTTACAACTTGTATGGGGGAATTATTATCTAGATGCAGTTGAAAGGACGATGAAATTAAAGAGATGTAGACTGTTACAGGCTTTAGGCTATTTAGACTAAATAATTGTAGTTTTCTGTTACAATCTTCAGTCACTCTTAACAGAAGAAAAGCATAATTTAAATTTTTTGATTTTGTTTTTACGTTGGTTACAAGGTCAGTCAAATCAACAGTCTGTATAACTGGGGTAGAGAAGATAACAGATAAATTATAAAGTTTTAGTGAAAAAAGTTTGATATATATTTAGGAGGTTTTTGAGGGTTACGCATACGAATGTAGACATTTTCAGATGAAGAAAAGTATTTTTAATCTTAACATGAAAATTACTTTGCATTCAAAGCAGTCAACACTCTGATTCCATATATTCATAAATATGAATACATAAATACCGTGGTTGAAAAATAAAGATCTTGATGGTGTAATCGAAAAATCGCTCAAGTCATCTAAACACTGCATTGTAGCCAGTAATAGGGCTAATAACATTTTCAGTAG